TTAAGATTGTTTTTTTTTTTGTTTTTTTTTTTTTAAACGTTTCACCCCAAGCAAGGCGGGAAGCCACTAGGACACAAGGTGTTACAGAAAATTTGGAGCAAGATCAGATAGGAGTGATAGAAGAAAGGATGAGGAGAAGGGTAGTGGATAGATCAAGGCAACTGGAGATACAGAGGCCAGAGAGAGAGAGAGAGAGACCAGATAAGATTGTTATGTATTATTTTTACTATTATATTATTATTTTGCTTGTTTCTCTGTTAGTAAGTAAATTAGCACATGCTTTATACCATGTCATTGCCTCAGATAAATAATGAACCATTTCATTTTGATTGTAAGAAAAGACAGAAGAAAGTGATATATCACAGATGTTGTTTAGTTTTAGTGAAAGACGCTAAAGACACAGGTAATAATGGTCAATTCCTTCTACCGCTCCAATAAGTACCTGACCCCTCCCGCTACACTTTATCTTTACAAAAGCCAGATCAGACCAAAAATGCAGTCTGAACTTTGTCAATACTGGAAAGTGGGAACTTGACACCTATGCAGCCTTATGGGTGATGAATTATTTTCTAATCTGTAATCCTTTTCTTTATCATTTCACCCCAAGCAAAGAAATAAACCCACTAATACAGAAAGGGTTGCAGAGTGTGAGAGAATATGAGAGAAAGAAAAACATTGTTAAGAAGAGAGAAGAATAAAAGAACAAGAATTAAGAAGACAGAATATAACGACTGACATATTATCCCTTTACAATACTATCCCATGACTTTTGGCAAATCAGTGTATAGAGTGCATACGATTAAACTGTTGGAAGATGCAATAAAATGTTTTGAAAATATTATAAAAGTATTGTCAAGCATAACTGTTCTCTCCCTCCCCCTCCCCTGCCTTAGCCTAGCTTGGAAGAGACAGGTTATCACCTTGTGACAAATCAAACTATGCAGCTGGAGTTGTATTGTATGAAATACTAAATAGTCAATGTCCCCATCAGCTTTCTTTTTTATTAACAGAAGCTCAACAAAAAAAGTTAGTGTTTAACAAAGAATTTATTTAGTAGTATTATGTTGAAAGAATATAAGAGAAAGAAAAATATCATTAAAGAGAGATGAAAATAAAAGAGCAAGAATTAAGAAGACAGAAGATAGCGATTGATATTGCATTTTAATTTTTGAAGATCAAAGTTGACTGGAAAGCAAGAAACCAGAAGAGAGTTCCACAAGCGAGAAGTGCGAGAGATGAAACTGTTAGCATAAAACTTATGATTACATCTTCCTCACAGACAAAACCTTGGAAGACAATCATTACTTTATCACTATTACCAGAAGTACCATATACAGGTCACTACAAAGTTGCAGAAAAAAACATTTCAAATTGTTATTTTTGGAAGAAGTATAAAGCATAGTTTTAATTGATAGACTTAAATGAGCATCAAAAGTTTGAGTGATAAATGAAAATTGGTAAATGATTCAATATATACATGTGTCTTACATGAAAAACAATATATCATATATGCCTACACAGCAAAGGAGATTTTATGGAGAAACAAAAGGAAAGGGTCTTACATATAATATGGAGGTACTCCTGTGTCTGGAGAAGCCATGTTTAGGACTCCAAATTAAAATGGATTCATTTACTATGTCCCATTCGAGGACATATTTCATGAAAGAGAAATGGCAAGTTTTCTGTTTTCCCAAATTGATTACTGCAAGCCAGAGTTTATTTCTATGTCTGGGAAAGATAGATTCCTAAAGGGAAATGATGCCATGTGCTTGTAAGCTGCAGATTTAGCCTCATCCCGGGTGCCTTGGTCCAGACTAAAAAAAGCAACCACTCAGTTTGGCTGCTGTAAACAAACTGAATGACTGGCCATTCTCATCATTGTATGAAATGACATCACCAAGAGGCTGTCACATGACCCTTCACCAAAGGGAGATAATCACCTTCTGTATTTCTACACTTGCTTCCACAAGTTAGGAATATTATTTTCTTGCAAGCTTTGCAACATACATTTCAAACATGAGGATTTTATTATTTAAATGTGAACAATTATCCTCATCTTTGTTGCTGAGATGAGGACATTAGTCTGCATGTAAATAGTGTAAATAATGACAACTCCTCATACAATCAGTTCAAAGATGAAGATTTTTTTCTACAAAAAGCAAACAAAATTTATCCTTAATATAGAAAACCTTGTATAAATAATATAAATAAATTGTACTGTTGAATATTATATCTAATTGTTCAATGTTCATGTATTACTAATTCAACTTTGAAAAAACTGACTGAACGCTCTTAACTATAAGCCACTGGTGCCTCTCTCCCCCACACACACACACACACTGGTTAAGTTGTTAACAAGGTGGAGGAGTTGAGATGTTTCAGAGTGTGATTACTGGCAGTGAAGTGGTAGGGTCAGGATGAGATTCAAATAGTTGTAAGATGATAGCTGAGATATATAGTGATTTTTTGATCAAGGCACATAAGAACCCACAATTCCAGAAGAAGCCAAGCACTTTCAGAAAGACAATGATTCATGACAAAGAACTCTTCAAAGAAAACAAATAAAGATTTAAATAAAATAAATTTCAAAGACACTAATTTGAGGCAATGACTGGATTCATGTGATCTTAACCTGATTAAAAAATTCAGCATTCTAAAGAGAAAGATTTGCAAAAGTGGATGTCAATTTAAAAGCGAAATTTATCATTGGAATGCTAATCTTGGACATGGTACAACTTGTTTCATATAAAAAAAATGCAACAATTCATAAAATCAATGAATAAATGGCTTTAGTTTTTGAAAAAGTAGGAATTAAAAGTGACTGAGAAATTATATATATATATATATATATATATATATATATATATATATGTATATGTATAAATATATATATGCATCTTTCATTGAAAATGGATGACAAGGAAGATTTAATTAATCTCTTATTGAGTTTTTTCAGCAATCTAATATTTTTGTGTTTTTCAGGGGTTAAAGAATATATATTGACAATTCCTATATTCTTTAACCTCCTGAAAGTGGTAAAATGTTAGCTTGTTGTAAAAACTCAATAAAAGATTAATTAAATCTTCCTTGTCATATGTTTTCAATGAAAGATGCATGAATAAAAGGTTGCTACCCAAATACAAATCAATATATATATATATATATATATATATATATATAAAAGTGAACATTGAAGTGAACACTCAGAGGCAACAGGTTGTTTCTTGCTAGGTGCAATCATCAAGCTGCCTGACGATTGCATCTGGCATGAAACAGCCTGTTGCCTCTGAGTGTTGACTTCAATGTTCACTTTTATATTTATATTTACATATGCCCTATCTCTGATATTGACCACTTTATCCCATAAATATCACACACCTTAAAACTATATTTCTTCATATATATATATATATATATATATATATATATATATATATATATATAGAGAGAGAGAGAGAGAGAGAGAGTAATGATACAATATGGTAATCTGTATGGAATTTCCAGGAGGTTATAGATCCAGGGAGAGCTCTATGTCAAAAGACAGAGCAAAAAGATTATTATTAATTAAAGTATATCAAACATTTAAAATCCCATAGGTAATAATCTTTATTTCATGAGAGCTCTTATGAAATAAAATTATTACCTATGGGATTTTAAATGTTTGATATTCTTTAATTAATATTATATATATATATATATATATATATATATATATATATATATATATATATATATATATATATATATATATATATATATATATATATATTTATATATATATATATATATATATATATATATATATATATATATATAATATAAATAAATAACTAGACTCGTTTTAAAAACCCTCGAATTTTTGATTTGTTAATCAAATCAATTTCGAGGGAAAAAAGGTTTTAAAAAAAGAAAGAGCTACAAACATAAACTTCTGCCGACAAAAAATCGCACAGTTTCTACATTACAAGTAGGAGGATTGCTACGTGGATCATTCCTAGTTTTTTTCTTATTCAATCCGTTTATAATAGTCCCTACATTCGGCATACAACAATAACTAAGTTTTACATTATTTTTGTTAAATATTTTATGTAACTCAGTTTTTTTTGGGAAATGTTGTTCGAGTAAATTAAAGAATATCTTACCAATTTTGGTTTTTACCGCTAAATTGAAAGGGGGATTAAACAAAAACATCTGTCCATTACAGGGAAAATGCCAGCAAGAATGCGTGGTGTATCAAGTGAAGATTTACAAAAATAGTGAGGATACTAACCCTAAAATATACATAGGTGCTACTCAGGATAAATTTAAGAAAAGATATTATAACCATACGAGTAGTTTTAAGAATGCAAAAATTAAACATAGTACCACGCTATCTACCTACGTATGGAAAACCAAACAAGATAATATAGACCCCATCCTTAAATGGGAAATATTAAAAAAATGCCAAAAATATAAAGCAGGCCATAAATTTTGCAAATTATGTGCTGAGGAGAAATTAGCCATAGCTTTATATGATCGCCCTAACCAACTATTGAACTCTAAAACTGAAATTCTCAATGTATGTAGACATAAAAAATCATGGCTACTAAATTAGACATTTTTATATATTAATGACTTTCCACTGAGGTTTTTTTTTTTTTTTTGTTGTTGTTGAATAAATATTTAACCCCCCACTTAGGTTGTTGTGTTTTTTTTGTTTTGTTTTTTTTTTTTTTGTCACGTGATTTTACCTATAAATGTGTGTTTCCCTTTGCCTTGTTAGCCAAGCTTTCCCTGACGATCCGTTTAGGTGAAACCTAGGTAGGTTTGTCTGGCTCACTAGGTGTATCTATATCTATATATATATATATATATATATATATATATATATGGTAGGGCAGGATTAAAATAAATTGAGTACAAATTTCATTTAAGGCTAGTTATACAATTTACACTAATGCCCTTGGGAAAGGCATGAATCTGATCTGTTTCTTTATTCAAAGACTCAGATAAAAAGCTATCTAACGAGCTAGTATGTTGATAGATAGATAGATAGATAGATAGATAGATAGATAGATAGATAGACTGAGATACATACTACATAGAACAATATATATATGATCAAAGTAAGATAGATAGATAGATAGATAGATAGATAGATAGATAGATAGATAGATAGATAGATAGATAGATAGATATGAACAGACTAACATGGATAGATAGATAGATATGCACAGACATAGATAGATAGATAGATAGATAGATAGATAGATAGATAGATAAACATGAACAAATAGATAGTGAGAGTGAAATATACCCTACATAGATTGATAGATTTGAAAAGACCGATATAGAAAGATATTGAAATGACAGAAATAGATATGAACAAACGGATAAGTAGTTAGATATGAACTAACAGATAGATAGATAGATAGATAGATAGATAGAACTAAAGACATCAGGTGTTCAATGACAAAGTCTATAAGTCATGGTTATGATGAATAAACTTCTCTAATGTAGCAGTTAGGATTAAATTCTTGACCTTCAGTCCAATAATCTACCTAGATAACTCTTAAGAAGTGATAATAAGAATTACGAAAGAAAAAAAACACTTAAAAAATGCAGGTGCAATTAAGACAAAAAGCCTCAATTCTCTAAGCCCATCTCACCATTAAATCTGTGAGATTATCTTGGATTAATAAAAAAGGGGTGTTTAAAGGCAGATTTGTAAGTTTTTACTCCAAGTTTTCACTTTCTCTCTCATTTCATTAAATCTATCGTCTTGTTTCTTTTATTGTTCAAACAAATCTCCCCTCAAGGTTCCTTGAGAATCTATTGTAATTGAACACACTCAAAAGTGGTGACATATACTGCCTTAATTTTGTACATCTGGAGCCACACAGCATCATGATATGAGGAATTAAAACTTCTGCAAAATTAAAGACAGACAAAAGGCTGCTGAAAAGTTCTTGGCCTTTCTTTCCCTAAAATCTAACCAAATCCTAAAACACCTTTCCCACAAGTTGAGATAGATAGATAGATAGATAGATAGATAGATAGATAGATAGATAGATAGATAGATAGATAGATAGATATGAAGAGACTGACATAGATATGAAAAGTCAGAAATAGACTGATAAACATGAACAGACTGATAGGTAGGTACATATGAACAGATAGATGGATAGATATTAAAATTGAGATAGATATGAACAAGTTGAGATAGATAGATAGATAGATAGATAGATAGATAGATAGATAGATAGACTGAGATACATACTGAGATACATACTAAATAGATCAATAGATATGAGCAGGCTAAGATAGCTATTAAAAGACTGTGGTAGATAGAGAGATAGATATTAAAAGATTTAGATAGATATGAACAAGTTGAGATAGATAAATAGAGATATAGATAAACTGAGATACATACTAGATAGATCAATAGATACAAGAAGGCTAAGATAGATATTAAAAACTGGGATAGATAAGGAGATAGATAGATATGAAGAGTCTGATAAGTAGATTGATTGTTAGCCATTGCAAAATGTTGCTATTCTGTTGCTACTTTATTACTATTTTCATGGTAAATGTTCAGATATGCTACATTCCTTACTGCCACCAATTCAGACCTTCACTGCTTAGACCCGTCATGCCACATCCACAGAGTCAGTTCAGCTCCATCTTCCTTCATATTCCATTGGTAAGGAAGAAGTTCCTCTATGACAGCTTATTCCCCAGAACTGTTATTTTGTAAAACAGACTGAAAATATCACAAATAAGTTATGCGAGCAGTGATGAAATTTTAAAGAGAATGAAATCAGAAAGAGACAATTGAAATTTCTGGGACACTATGAGGAAGGACAGCTCAGAGAATTTAATACTCAAAGGGTGTATTGAGAGAATAAAGGGGAGAAAGAAGGAACAATCAATTTACCAAATGAGTTTGTGTGAATGGATGTCAGAACAGGAACAAAGATAGATTGTAAAGAGTATTAATATTACTTAAAGCTACAAGAGACAAGTGAGTCAGTTATGTACCATGTGTGATACACGCTTAGGTGTATCTTTCAATACATGACTGATGAGGCAGATTTTTTTTTCTACAGTAGCTTGCCATTTTTTTCTGCAGTAGAACAGTTGTCATCCAAGGCTCTAGAACCTCATCTGTCCTGCTGTTTACCCATAGCTGGGGGTGGGGAGAAGAAGAGGATTCATACCTTTCCCAAGGGTATTAGTACATAAATGAATGTAATAGATCTGACTGGAATTCGAACTCAGCTCTCCAATTTCTCAATCTGATCTGCTGTCCATTACTCTACCATATTGGTGAGCCATGATCACCGACATCCTGAAGGCATACAGGACACAAGTGATAATCAATTATCATTCTTTTAAAACTAATTCTTGGATTCAGTCAGTGTCTGCCATCAAAGCAAAGGGTAACAAACTAGACTCACACACTGTTCATTAGTGTAGTAAGTTTGGTCCTTACTGGTGTCTCAAATTTTTGGCTTTGTGCCACAAATAAATATTTACAATAAGTGAATTCTAGAATTTTGTTTGGGCACTTTTGGTTACTCATCAACATAATTTTATTATATCATGAGCAATGTTCTCCAACATTCTGTAGCCTATGAACCACAGTTCCTTGATTTGACAATTTTGATTTTTAGGATATAATTTTTTTTTTTCATTTCTTGTTCTACAATGTAAATGAACATGTCTTGTTTTTGTTATTTTATTGTCAGGCAATGACAGTGGAGAATATCAACTTTAAAAATAAATAGAAAGGTCTGTTTAGGCTTGTAATCGACCAAGAAGAATGTCAAATAGGATGCAGTCAGTATGAAAAAGCAAATCAGGAATGCAGAGTAATTAATTCTAATCAATGACAACAATGTAGAATCTTCCAGCAACCACTAAAAATGAAGGATACCATTTTGAGTTGAGCTTGATTGTGGGCCATACATAATCAGTGTGGGGAACACATGTGGCCTGTGGGTAGTTTGGTTTGTTTTGGTTTGTGGCATATTAACCTCGATGGGTCATTTAATGCTGACAAGATTTTTATTTCTGTCAATATTTTCTTTTTTCAAATATTTATTGCTGATACTAATTTTTTTAAAAAGTATTTCTGGTATTAAAATCTATTTTTACACTTTCATAGTGTTTTGAGTCAGGTTGTGGGGTCAACTATTTACCCATAGCTGGGACCCTAACTGGTGCTACCACCCCAGTTCAGGGTGAACCTGGGAAAACCAGCAATTAAGAGGTGTTTCCACATTCCTCAAAACCTTCTGATCAGAGGCCTTGCTGTTAGACGTAGTCTATTGTCTTACCCAGGACACAGATGCAGTTCATCGTCATACCCAGGACATGTTGGTAGCTTGAAGAAAAACACTGGTAACATTTAATGGATGCTGGAAGGTTAGAAATCATTCTTAAATCAAGGAATTGTGATTTTTTTTTTTATTGGGATATATCTCCTCTCTCTCTCTCTCTCTCTCTCTCTATATATATATATATATATATATATATATATATATATATATATATATATATAATATTTATTCAAAATTTATAATATATAGATGTTATAAAGATCACTGCAAAGTTGCAATTTTGTTTCAACACTGCTGGTGACTCATCAAGTTGTAATGTTTTAACATCATCACTTGATAAGAAACCAGCAATATTGAAACAAAATTGCAACTTTGTAGTGATCTTATAACTGTTATAGTGGGACACACCTATTCTATAGTTAATAGACTCTCCCACCTATAATAAGTAGGAGTAGTAAGAGTCGTTCAGCAGTCGCTCAGTGAGTGAGTTGGTCAGTCAGTCGATGTCGGACGACAGTTAGTCAAATACTAAAGCATCAGCGACTACAACTAGATTAATCTGCGTTATACCTATTATATCAAGTTCCTAACGTTTTGTACGTCGAACCTATTTTAGGACCGACTTAGTACAAATACAAGCCTCCACTGTGAAATCACTCTATAACAATAACATCTATATGTTATAAATTTGAATAAATATTATTAGCTCTACAAATATCATTATTAGCTCTTAGCACTCTTTTAAGAATAGTGTTTTTGGTTATTGAAATTTTATTCCATATGAACCAACCCTGTACTTATATATATATATATATGTGTGTGTGTGTGTGTGTTTTATACGCGCACGCACACACACACACACACACACACACACACACACACACACACACACACACACACACACAAATATTAGTATGTATTATGAACTGGATTAAATCCAAAAAAAATTTTAATATATTTTCAGTTTATACGTTATTTTTATGGATACAACTTATTTGAGTAAATTCTCTGTTTTAATTAAACAATATTAATTACATTTACCAGCCTGAATTTTTGAGAAATTTTGTAGAAAATATGTGTTCTCTGACAGTAATCGAACGTGTATCCCATAAAGAAACCGTAATATATCTTGGCATGCTGTTAACCATTCAGCCACAGAGAACTTTCTGGTTAGCAAAGTCCAAATTACAGCTTATAAAAGCACATCTTCAACAATCTTTCTCGATATTTCATATATGCTCTGAAATGTAACCTAAAGATCATTGAACATTCAGGCCAGTAAATGTAATTAAAACTGTTTAATTAAAACAGCATTTACTCAAATAAGTTGTATTCATAAAAATAAAATATATTTATATATATATATATATTATATATATATATATATATATATGAACAAAAAGACAAAAGGAAAAACTATTCTTAGCCATTGTGTTTCAACCTCTGAGGGACTTTATCAAGGCAAATGCAGGATTTATTTTGTTACAAATGTTTATGTACAAGAGCAAGGATGTCATTGGTTTATCAAAGTTTTTAAATTTGAGGACGTTTATGAATATTCATCCTATTCAAGAAATATTTTGTTTTATTCATTTTATTCCTTTACAGATACACACTATCTGAAAATAATTTACACACACACACACACACACACACACACACACACACACACAGGCATATATATTTATATATATATACATTCTTAGTCATATTCCAATGTCTTTTTTATTCAATTTGTCTTAGCTTTCAGAAATTTAACAATATGCCAGCATGAAAAACTAAAACAAATTCTTAGGTAAAAAAATGAAGAAAAAGTTACCAATATCCAGAGGGAGGCTTACACTTTTTAATATTTTGAATTTGATATAACTATAAAACACTTCACTTTTAAACTTGCCTTGATAAAGTCAGATTGACAAAATGTGTCAGCAATGAGTAAGAAATATTTTCCAATTGTCTTTTTTACCCATTATATATATATATATATATGTATATATAGATATATATATAATATATATGTGTGTGTGTGTGTGTGCGGGTATGAGTCCTGTAAACTCTACTGCAGAGTATAGATTCAAAGTCTCACCAAGTGAGCTATTGTTGTCATCATTTCTATAATAAAATAGTTTTTATGAAGTCTAGTTGTGAGTTACACACCCAACCAGTTTTGAATTAGTGACGAATTGCCTAATCTTTAAATCTCAGTGAGATGAAACTATACAATAAAGATTCATTTGACAGAAAATTTACAAATGAAGCATAAATCTTTGGTGTTCAGATTTGTGAATCATTTAAACCCTTAATGGATTATCCCATCCATTAGCATTTTTATATTCTATTCTAAAAACCTTAGGTAGGCATCCTGCTAAATTACAGAATAAAGACAAACCTGTCCTGGAATTCTTATAGCAAATGGCATCAATTTCATAGCAAAAACAAGAATTACAATTTTTGCTATTTTTTAACTAAATGTGGCATTTTTATGGGTTTTATTGACTATAAAATTTTTTCTCCATTTGCTAGTGAAGTTTAAAACTATATAATGCAAATATACTGTATACTGTGGATGTTAACAAGGTTGTGGGTTTTATGTGCATTTTTAGGTGAAGGCACGTGTTCAATATGCAAGCAAAGAAAGTATAGAAGAAACATACAAATAAACTTGTGTTTCTGCTACAGACGTTTATTCCTTTTATGTTGAGTGTATTGAAACAAAGTTAAAAGATCTCTTGAGTATGTCCATTTTTCTTTTTGGTTCTGAAATGATTTATGGAAGATAAAGATACAAATGGGTAAATATGGTCAAGCTTAAGTCAAACTCACACTGAGTTGGGAAAACCAAGTATATCTGTTTTTCTTTTTGGTTTTGAAATAATTTATGGAAAGTCAGGATACAAACAGGTAAAGCTGGTCGAGTCCAAGTCAGCTTCTCACTGTAGAGCTGCTAAATGCTACATGTCCAATGTCATTGGTAAGTGGAAAAAAGTTCAGTTGTCAGTGAACCAGGGAAATTGACATTATGGTTCATATAATTGAAGCCAAAAGCAGAAAGAGAAAAATTCTGCCCTTTCTGGAAATGGGGTCATAAAATCACGCATATGAGCAGAAACCCTTTCCATCATGGGAAAATTTATTTATTTTTCTTTTCATTATTATTGTTTTATTCATTGGTTTTATTTCATTTCTCCACATTACA